AACATATATATATATATATATATATATATATATATATATATATATATATGAATGTGCTTGAGTAAGAATAATTTAACAGAGCAGACCATATGCGAGGGTAAACATTATGCACTTGCTTTGTAAATGTTACCTTTCTAGTGTTGACTTTGATTTTTGAAAAATCGACTAGTTAAAACACTAAGAGATGTTCTACTTTTCGTCCTGGTTCTTGTCCCACTCTTGTCACGACTTTGATCTCATGCATGTTATCAACTGGCTACATAAATATACATATTGATATCTGGATGAGCCATTTTTCATCGATAAATGATGACAACACCAGGCTTTTCTTGACTTTGATTTTTGAGTTATTGAAACAATAAGAGAATTCCTACTTTTCGTCGTGGTTCTTGTCCCACTCCACGAGCCACTCCGGCGGCTCGGGCGCCCCGCCCTTCAGATCCTCCTCCTCGTTACTACGGGAACTGGATGACAGGGTCGGCGTGTTCTTCCCGCTGTGCTGACTGCTCGCCTTTCTCGTTCTCTGCTCAAAACAAAGTATGACAGTCAAATATCTATTCTTTTTAAACTTTACCAGATATCCATTTTTATGGGCTACCTGGCATAGAAGGATTCATTTTTATTATATTTCTTAGACATCATCATCATGCCTCCGGATTAATTATCCAGTGAGGTACACTTGATAAAGTTTCTTAGACACTACCACAAAAATATTTTCATTTTTTCCTTCTTTTAGAGATACAAACTCTAGCCATGTACAAGCTGGTGCCTTGTTAAAGTACCCTAACTCAATTATCTGTAGGACTTTTAAAGATCTCATCAAGTATAAATAAAACTTGACTTTAAAGACCTTGTTTACACCTCTTTTTCACTTACAGTCTACAAAGATTGTATTATTTCTAAAACCCTTTACATGTACGATTAAGGTTGTTTCCATTTTCATTTGACGAATCAAGTGAATCAAGAGGAATCCAGTTTATGATATTTGACTCGACCAGGATAGATTATGAAAGCTGATATCAGAGAAAGAAGGTGAAACATGAAATGTGGTGTGAAGATGAAGACTGACCCAAACCTGTAAGTAGCAATAGAACAGGGTGGTATAGTATCTCCTCTGGGAGCATGTGCAGAACAGGAGAGAAGGAGTGAGGCAGAGGGTCCAGAAAGTTTACCAAAAGTTCTTCCAGATTTTAGAGTGGCATCAAGCAATAAGGAGCCTCAAAGATGGGCAAAATGTGACTTATGTAGTAAGAGGAAATCTCAGTGTGAGTTCCCCTACAACTTAACATAAGTGAGACTTGTGTAAAAGGAGAAATCTCAGTAACAACTAAACTTTACAATGCTGCAGTACTATTCTCCACAGCTAGGTGGTGTTCATGCACAGCAGCAGTCTCTATTAGCTGTGACTGGAGTTGGCAACTGATGTAAAATGACCCAACATTTACCTCCTCCTGGATACTTTCAAATTTCCTTCTACAAAGACAAAAATACAGACCAAAGACGTCTTTCTAAAAGATTAATAATACCTCTGTGTAGATTTTGATTTGGGAACTTCAGACTACCTACATGTACATGTGTAAACTAGCCTGGGTACCATCCGGACTTGCGGTGCAAAAATCCGGATGGTACCCAGGCTATACCTAAAGTGCATGCGAAATGAAACCTTACCTGGTATACAATAAATACTCAGTCAAAAGAGATTGAAGTTGCTCACCTTCTGTACACCTTCATTCTCTATTAACACCTTCTACACAGACTTAAATACAGACAGTCCTTCCAAAAGATTATATAATCTGAGTAGATTCTTATTTGAAAACTTAAGACTACCTACATGTAAACTCCATGCCAAATGTAGTTTACCATGTATAAACTATAAAACAAATATACAGTCAAAACAGGTTGAAGTTGCTTACCTCCTGTACACCTTCATTCTCTATTAACATGGTCTCCCCTGTCATGTTTGTTGTCGGCGACACTTTGGTATTCGACGCGATCGGACTCGGCATTGGAAGCTCATTAGAATGGGACGAGGCGCTGTGCTCGCGGGAATGTCTCGGCGTGACCCTGCCTCCGAGGGAGTCCCTGCCCAGTGCGTTCTGGTACGACTCGTTCCGTACTCCGTACGCCTGTCCCTTCAACCTGTCCAACACCGGGTGCGCCGTGTGAAATTCTAAGTCATCCTCCTCCACCTCGTCACTGCTGTCCTGGATTTCGCGGTGTACCACCGTGATGTCGGAATTCTCGCTCGTTTCCGACGTTGACACGCCGTTACCGATCTCCTCCCCGCTACGACTCGACCCTGGCGTGCTGCTCCGGTTGGTGTGGTTCGCGCCGACGTCCACGGGCTGGTCCCACAGCGAACCCGACTCGTTTTGCGGCTCCTCGACAGTCTGCGGTAACGTGTTGTTCTGCTTGATTTTCCGCGCGACCACGAGCTGGATGGACCCGCGCATGTTCCCGTCCGTCGACATGGATTTCCGCAGCTTCTCCATGGCAACGTTGTTCGGTAAAGCGACCAGGGATTCGCCGTTAACGTACAGGAGCTGGTCGTTTACTTTCAGTTGACCATCCTGTAAGAGATGGGGCAAATCATAAAAAAATTGATTCATTTAATATGTACAATCAAATGGGTTATAGACTCTTACATACGTTCAAACCTGTGATATCCACAGATCCAAATACAAATGTAAGATGCTTCATCTGGTTGGTAACTTAAGTCATTTGATCGTAATATTTCTTTTCATACGACCAATCTTTCCCTTCAACAAACCCACAGACAGACTGCATGAATCTGACTACATTTTGAGTTATCAGCTATCACTCTTTTTTATTCAATGATTACGATAATTCACTTTATCATACAAATATTCAACAAAATACTCAATCTCACCTTGGATGCTGCACCGCCATTTATAATAGACTTGATGAAGATTCCCAGGTCAGCCCCATCGACCTTTGACTTGTTACCTTTGACACTGACCCCTAACCCCGCTGACCCTGTGTCGTTGAGTGGGATCTCTAACGTGACATATTCCCGTGTCTTCCGTGGGGTCAGACCGTGGCGTGGGTCTTCTGCATCGCTTACGGCATAATCTTCAGGCTTTGGGCGCAAGAGGAATAAAAATGTCAGTTTTTTCTAATTAGCATGAAAGCTCATCTCAGTCATCTGTATCAGTACCTAACATATTACAGAGCTACATGTACAACTTAAATATTTGTGCTGGTAGAAGTCATTACTAAAAAATTGAAGGTATTTAAGCGCTGCCAAAATATAAAATTCTAAAAGTCCATTATCCTTCAATGTTATGCCTACAATTTAAATCTGTTTCAAACATCAGCTAAAAACATAGTGTAGGATGAAACGTTTTGAATACATGTATAACAATTCTATAACATCTACAATGTACTATAATAGATATTTTGTAAACCACAGCAGACCACCTTAAATCTAAAACTATATTCCTTTAAAAAATTTTGGCAGCAAAAACTATGACTCGATTTACACACACGGGCAAAACCTGAAGTCCAAAAACTGCATACATCAAATTTTTCCTTCATGTAAATCAATCTTGATGTATGTCAAGAACATAATGAATTTCAGATTGTGCAATCTAAATGTACACTATTTCTGTACATCAAAGCAGGCTGATTTACATGCAAGACAAATTTGACATATGCAGTTTTTGTATCCTCACCTTAATCAGGTCTAAACATCTAGGAAAATCACGATTCCTAACATTTCTACTATCACCTACACACCTACTGATCACCACCCCAGTACAGTACACTACACATACGGCCATGTAGTTAGTGGCATGTTGAATGCGTTACTTGAAATGGAGGACGTAGTATATATAACTAACCTTGTCTTCATGCAGGTACACGTAGGAGGGGAGTGGTGGGTACGAGATCTAGAAATGACAGGCACACGTCACACACGGTACTACGTTCTACCAGAACCATGCGCTAGCTCTACTGTGCAAGTGTGGGGAGAGGGGGGGGGGGGAAGAAGTAAGGGTACCCTTGGAGCCAGACTTTTACCGGGCCGTTAGCCGTTTTCCTTCGGCAGCTTAGAGCCCTTCGCCCGCCTATCTAAATTACTGCTACTGGGGAGTTGATCCCAGGGGGAGTTTGGCTGGCCCTACTACTCCCCTAACTCCCCAGTAGCGGTAATTTAGATAGGTGGGCGAAGGGCTCTTGGCTGCTGAAGGAAAACGGCTAACGGTCCGATACTAGTATGGCTCCCAGGGTAAAGTAAGGGGGGAGGGCAGAGCACGTTATTGGGTGCTTAACCTTCTTCTTGCTGTGTCCAATAGAATTTTTTACAATTTGCCAAACAGCTACATCAGCAGGAAGAAGGTTAAAAAAATCTGTCATGATTTTGTTTCTGAGAGGGGGGGCAGCAAGGGTTATCTAAAAAAGCAAGAGAGCAAAGACTGAATATGTAAATGGAGCTGGATTAATGAAAAGGGGGAGGGGGGCACATCATCACTGGGTACCAAAAATGAAAACACTCTGTTGTCATATTTTTTGTGATGGGGGCATAAAAAGGTTATCAGAGGAGCATAGTCTGAATATGAGGGTGAAACCAGATGAATTGGAATTTCCGAGATATTTTTGTAAGGAGGTGAGAAGTAGAGTCACAGTAGAGTTGGCATTGGAAACAACAGCAGACAGAAATATAGAAATGCAAAAGGAGACAAGAGCTGAAAAGCAACATGTGGATGGCAAAATTGACAAGTAATCATGAAATAAAGAAAAAATAAGCAAGACTTCGTCATGGTCAACTCCATACACAAAGCATGAAGACAATTATGCAATCAAATTTTAGCAGATGAATATATAACAAAATGATTGTCGGTCAGTTACAGAATGATTCAAATAAGGACGTCATAAAATAAAAATGATCATGTTCTCTGTTGTCTGTCAAATGTATGAAGCATAAAGAACCAAAAAAAAGACAATGTCAAGAACAAGCAGGGATGAACAAGGTATGATAAGTACGAAACTGAAAAATGATTTATAATTATTAAGGTGGCAAGATGAAAATCAAGCATGATGATCATGTTCTGTGTTGTCTGTCAAAATGTATGAAGCAAAAAAACCAAAAAAAAGACAATGTCAAGAACAAGCAGGGATAATGAAGGCATGATAAGTATGAAACTGCAAAACGATTCATTATTATCAAGCTGGCAGGATGAAATGAAAATCAAGCATGATGATGAAGAGTTTTTTGAGGTGGGAGGGGGGGCGCTTGTTCCCTATAGATGTGTGCTGAGAGGCCCTGCAAGTAACCATGGTAGCTAGAGTGTTGCTTAGGGCTGGACAGGGAACAAACAAGAGTGGGGAGGGGGGCACGAGGAGCGTGGTGCAGCATACTACGGCAACAACAATCGAGAATTTGATTTCAAATCACTACGTCAAACATATGATTGATCTTTTTCTACTAGATTTCAAATCGGTTTCATACTAAAAATCATTTTGCTACGGAAAGTTGGAAATTTTGCATTACAGTCACACTACAGTCTTGCACTGAAAAGTTTGCAAACAGAAACGACTTTCAAAGCTCAACACAACGAAGGCAAACCTACATTCTACATCATCTACAAAAGAGATGACTACAAAAATTCGGTTGATTCACAAAGAAATGAAATCATGGTACAAACGTGGACAGATTTCTTTTCACGTAAAGCTACATAAAAATAAATATACTGACAAACAAACATGACTTCAAAACCCAAATCAAATTCATATCTTTGATTAGGAATCCCCAAATCAGTACAAGTCGATTCCAAATCAAAATAATGTTTGCAATCAAAATGGCAACCTCAGAAACCTAGATGGATTTTGTTGGAATCAGCTAAAATATCATTATATTGTGATTATGGAAATCAGAGTTGCAAAGTGATTGGTTTGTTCAAAATCAGATCTGTACTGTGATTGGTTTATATGAAATCAGATCTGTACTGTGATTGGTTTGTTTAAAATCAGATCTGTACTGTGATTGGTTCGTTCAAAATCAGATCTGTATTGTGATTGGTCTGTTTGGCCATTGCTCCCGTGCCCCCATTGGCTATCGCTCCACGCTATGTTGTGCCCGTTCCGCGGTGCTCCCAGTCCAGTCCTTACCAGCTCCCTAGGTAACACGGGTTCGTCCTGCCGCGACACGACCAGGTTCACCGTCCCGCCGATCGGGATGCTCCGCAGCATGTTCACCGCCTCCTGCTGAGTCTTTCCTGTCAGCTCGATGCCGTTCACCTGGAGGTAATAAAAAGGAAGACAGTCAAAACCAGTGATGTCTGTCTATGTAGTCACATGTGAACATGTACACACTACACACATATCACGTGAGAAGAACGTACATTTTGTACTGTGCTTACATGGAACCCGGATTTTTCACGGTTTTCACTGAATGTTTGGTCAACGTTGCAATAGGAAGACAGTCGAACAGTCAAAACTAGTGATGTCTGTCTTTGTATTCACGTGTGAACATATACACATAAAGCACATGAGTAGAACGTACTGCATTTCCGTTTTCTGGTGCAGGCGCAGTATGTTCTACTGACATGCTTTACACATATTAACTGCTATTCCTTAACTGCTCTCTTATGAGCCAAGTGCCTGAAACAAAGAAATAAAAAATCAAGCATTTTCGAAGTACAAAAGGATTGAGATGTCCTGCAAATTTCCCGGGTAGGCAGAAAGAAACAGTTTCACACAAAGTAAGGTTAAAAGTCACATGTGCTGGCAAGCCTTCCTTCTGGGACCCTTGTCTGATCTAATCCCTGTTGGCTGTAGCAATGCAAGTTGCAGTGAAATCTTATTTCCATGTCGTCACACCCACATAACTCACCACTGCCTCTTGCGCTGTAGTGTCAGCATCTTCCTCGTCCCACCATGTTACCGAGCGTGGGCGCGAACGCCGCTTGTTTGAATCACTGCTGTTTTTCATGTTCCTCCTTCCTACATACACAGTCCACCCCTAGTCATGTTCCATTACTACATCCAGTGTAGTACAACTAGTGATAGCTCCACCATCTGTGCTCAGATCTCAAAGGGAATGACTCGATCATTCCAAATCCAGATGCAACTATTGCTGCTATAATCACAAACCTTACTGAATTCGCACAAACTCGGAATTCAGACTTCCTCACGTCGTAACATTCCTTGCCGATTCATAAGACGAACTCCGAGCCAACTGGGAAGAAAACATCCCCACATAACTTGGAACGATGATTCCAGACGCGTGGATGCGTGTTGGGTGGACAAATGCTGCAGATGAGAATTGGCAGGGAGCAAATTCCAGTATAGTTGCCTCATTCTGGCAGATATAAAAGGACATAACAGGAGATGCCTTCCAGCTCTGTTGGGTCTTTCACTACTGGCACACTGGGAATATCAGTTGTCACTACTAATATAGTATGGGTTGGAATACGAGCGTTTATATGGATTATGACATAATGTAGAGCTGGTGTGAAATTACACACGGATATTAAACACGTAATTCATATGCCCAAATTATAAATCCATCTGAATCTAACAAGGGTGTCAAATTGGCTATCCTTTAATTTTTTCTACTGAAGAAATCTTGAAAAAACTGTATAGTACTTTAGTAGTTTTTGTTTGGGGACAGAAAACTTTCAAACATCACAACTTAGAAAATTTTGGCTACAAATTTGGAGACACAAATCAGCTTTTGAAGAAATTTTTTTTCCTGTAAA